TTGGCTCTTCTTGAGAAAGAGAGCCTAAGTCTCTGAAATTGGTCCAACAAGGAATTGGGGCGTACTCAAGAGATTGATAGCCCCAATTAAAGGGTTAAACTTAAAGATAGTAATACCCGACTTGAACCTTAATTGCTTGTGCAAATTTGCATACCCAATTGGTCTTGAGAAAGTCAATTCGGGCAAAATCACTCAAACTACCGAGAGGTATAGAGTGAGTAGAATCGAGCAATGGTTATATCATACTCCCCAAACGTGATAATCTAGCTTTACACTCAAGAATCCGTCAATTGACCACCTAGGCGAAAGTCACTACCCTAGTGCCTTTTAATCATTTGAACAACTCGCAATAGTTTAACCCTAGCTTATTTTAGTTTAATTGAGCATTGTAGTTTTATAAAATTAGAATCATAATCAAAACCAAATATGTGTAGAAGTGCAATTTGGAGCAAATACAAAACTCTACTTTAGATAGACACCCAACTCCAATATCTAGCTCCCTGTGGAAATCGATCCCGACCTTAATCGGGTAAAAGCTGCTTCGACCTCTCTTGCTACTCAATAGTAGTGCAGAGTTGGAACCGATCAGCGATACTGTTGTTGTGGACCACGTATATCGGTCTTGTGTGGTGACTATTGGGGGTTTGGAGAACCGAGTGGACCTTCTGTTGCTTTTTATGGTGGATTTTGATGTGATATTGGGCATGGACTAGTTATCTCTATGTCGCGCTATTTTGGACTGTCATGCTAAGACAGTGACGTTGGCTATGCCGAGTGTGCCACGGATTGAGTGGCGGGGTTCGACGGATTATTTTCCCAGTAGGGTGATTTTGTTTTTGAAGGCTTGGCGGATGGTTGGGAAGGGTTGTCTTTCTTACATGGCCTTCGTGAGGGATGCTAGTGCAGAGACTCCTACCATTGATTCAGTCCCGGTAGTGAGGGATTTTCCAGATGTGTTTCCTGCAGACCTTCAGGGCATGCCACCGGACAGGGATATTGACTTTGGTATTGATTTGGTGTCGGGCACTCAGCCTATTTCTATTCCACCGTACCGTATGGCACCGGCGGAGTTGAAGAAGTTGAAGGAGCAGCTTCAGGAACTCCTGGATAAGGGGTTTATTTGGCCTAGCGTGTCGCCGTGGGGTGCACCTGTCCTATTTGTGAAGAAGAAGGATGACACTATGAGGATGTGCATTGATTACATGCAATTGAACAAAGTCCCAATCAAGAACAAGTATCCTTTGCCTCGTATTGATGATTTATTTGACTAGCTTCTGGGAGCGAGGGTGTTCTCCAAGATTGATCTCAGGTCGGGGTATCACCAGTTGAAGATCAGGTACTCGGATATTCTTAAGACAACTTTCAAGACCCGATATGGTCATTATGAGTTCCTTGTGATGTCTTTTGGGCTGACCAATGCCCCAACATCATTCATGCATTTGATGAACAGAGTGTTTCGGCCTTATCTCGACTTGTTCGTTATTATATTCATTGATGATATTCTGGTATACTCGCGTAGTAAGGAGGAGCACGCCGAGCATTTGAAAGTTGTATTGCAGCGATTGAGGGAGGAGAAGCTTTATGCAAAGTTCTCCAAGTGTGAGTTTTGGCTCAGATCAGTGGCTTTCTTGGGACACATGGTGTCCAGTGAGGGTATTCAAGTTGATCCGAAGAAGATAGAGGAAGTTCAGGGTTGGCCCAGACCGTCCTTAGCCACAGAGATTCGCAGATTTCTTGGTTTGGCGGGTTATTACCGTCGGTTCGTTCAGGAATTTTCATCTATAGCATCACCCTTGACCAAATTGACTCGAAAGGGTGCTCCTTTCAGGTGGTCGGAAGAGTGTGAGGCGAGCTTTCTAAAAGGAGCCCCTCCGGAGTCTATACACCCTTAGTGAGTGCGGATGATACTATTGAGGGATGGATTTCCTTGGGAATGGATTTGTCCGAAGTACTGATATTATTGAGCGATGGATTTTCCTGGACATAGATTTGTCTGAAGCACTGATACCTGGAGATGGATTTCTCCTCAGGGTCGGATTACCCTTGTTCCTCGGTACCGGCTGACTTGAGGTCAGCGTTGTTTATATATATTCCGGGATGGATTTCCCTGGGCCGGATGGCCATATGCGGTACCGAGTGGTTGAGCACTTGAGAGTAGAAGCACACAATGCATTTTCATACATTTCGACATGTAGAGTTTTACTGAGCTTTATACTTTATATTGTTCGGATTAGTACTTTTCGTTAATGTCAAGTTAAAAATATTGAATTGCCAGCATGCCTACTTTTCTGTAAAATTTAAATGTGTTATAATTGTTGAGGTTTAGTTCGTCACTACCTCTTAGTCCAATGTTTGGACTTGTTACTTACTGAGTTGGTGTACTCACGTTACCCCCTGCACCTTATATGCAGATTCAGGTATCTCAGGGCACGGTAGCGGCTGTTGACTATTCCAGTCGCGGAATTCACGAAGATAGCGAGGTAGTTGCCTGGCGATCGCAGTTCTGCTTTTTTCCTTCTCTATCTTCCTATTAGTAAATTGTTGCTATTTCCAGACTATTTTGGTCTTGTCTTGTTTCAGAACTATTGTAGCATTGCTCATGACTTAGTGACACCCGAGGTCGGGCTTTTACTTTCCGTTTTTATTTTTGTTTTGACTTTATATCTTTTATTGGATTTTAGTTGAAAAATGGTTTTATTTAAGTTTTAATTGGAATGGGGATTATTTTAGAAATGTGTTGGCTGGCCTAATTTCACGATAGGCGCCATCACGATACGGTCGGTTTTGGGGTCGTGACAACTGGAGAGTGTAATTACATCCCTCCAATTACACTCAATTCCATGCTGACCAAGTAATTATTTGGCCATACAGACATATCAAGCTGTGTAATTTTAACCAAATCCAATTCCTAAGTGGCTTTCCAAACAGGCTCTAATTGTTTGTCATATGATGTATGTCAATATATTCAATTCGGTTGTATACACTGTATTCAATTTAGATGTATTTGTTCTTATATATTTTACATTGTATTCAAATTCACTATATTGAATTCAGTTGTACTCAAATAACAAAAAATAAGAAATAAATAGGGTGTATATCGTTCTATTCAATTCGATTGTATACACTATATTCGATTCGACTATATTCATTCTTAATTATTTTATTGTATTCAATTTTACTGTATTCAATTCGACTGTATTCAAATAACAAAAATTAAAAAAATACAGGGATCTGTCACAAAAAATAACCTTTGGAATACATAAATACAGACGAAAACATATAAAAAAAATAAACTGTATTTACTTGAAAAATACATAATACACTCAGATTTGAGTGTATTTATATAGAATATAATGTATTTGTATCATTGTATGTGATTCAATAGCAAAGAAGAGATAAAGTTTTTCGGAGATACGTATTGCGGCCAAGCAAAATACTGTATATATTGTATTAAAACTAAAAATGGAGACGAACAAAAATCCGACCAGATCTAAGAATACACTATCGCATTATATCTACCAAAATTCGGTTAGACGAACTAAAATATGGCCAAAATATATATTTTATTGTATTTAATTCGGCCATATGAAATAAAATATACTCAAACCTGAGAAATACACTCAAATCTAAAAAAATACACTCGGATCTGAGAAATCCGATCGCTTGGCCATGGATTCCAACCAGAGATGACGGCAGCGACGGATGTAATGATGAGGCTGATCTGGATTGATGAATTTGAGGCACTGAATTGAGGAATTTTCATAGCGAGCGAGTGAGAGAAGAGACAATGCAAAGGAGAGAAAAAAAATAAAGGAGGTTGGACGGTAGTGTTCTGGCGGGTTTGGCCGGTGACGGTTCTCCGGCGAAATTGAAACACCAGAGAGATAGAGAGTCTAAGGGAGATGGGCAGGCGTATAGGCTATAGAACGAAGATGAAAGGAGGAAGAGAGGAAAAAGTTACTTTAGGGTTAGAAATCCCTTAAAGAGGGTATTTGCTATAAAACCTAATATGCAGCTATGTATTATAATTAGTTTAAAGTGTATTTATTTATGATAACTATAGTGTATAATTTAGTTGTAACATGTAAAACTTTCTATGCCTAATTACCATTCGTAACTATTGTTCAATTATACCAGCTTGTGTCGCTTGTATTCAGATGCACAACGGATATAGTCTGTGTCAACTGTATTCGTTGCGCCTGTACGAATACAACCAAGGCAAAATACATAAATACAAAACAATAAAATGGTGTCATTGTAAATCGAACTCCAAATCTCCACTTCTTAAGTGAGCGCTCTAACCAACTGAGTTACAAGAGATTGTTCCTCTCTTGTTTTAGTTCAAATAATTGATCTCTTATTTTATGGATTTGCTATAAAATTCAAATGTAGCTACGAATAGTAATTTTTCTGAAAGTATAGCTACGAATGTTAAATATAATGTACTTGTTTTCCATTTTGCGTCTTCATCGGTCGATATGGTACGATTATAAAAAAAATATTAGTTCGATATTTTGGAATTCTGTTTTTTTTTTTTAAAAAAAAACAAATAGATCAATACAATAACGAATAAATTCGGTATGGTTTGCAGTTTCGATTTGTGTGGTTAGCAGCTTCAGTACTACTCTTCAAAATTATATTTTATCAATTAAATTTAGAATAGACAATTAAAACATGCAATCGTGATTCTTGAAACTGATTTTCAGACTTGAAGATTAAATCAATAAGAAAAAAATTAAATTAAACCAAAATATTAATGATGTTTCATTCTAAAATAGGAGTCTTGTCTTTGCTCGAAAAGAAAACATCAGACACAATATTATAGAGCTAATGTGGTGAATTACCAAATAAAATGAATATGTTCGACAACCATACAACAAATTAATCTGGGATAACAAATTTCACTATCATGTTTAATACTAAGAAAATCGTGCACAATAACTAACCATTTGAGATTTATTATTCAAATATATGAAACACTCGTATGGGATTTATTAATATCGAATTCATGAAAAGAGTATCTTTTTTTTTATCACATACTGAACATTAAACAATTAATTTCATGAATATAATCCTTAAAACTTACTACATATGTCACTAATATTACGAAGTACCACGAAGTATATCAGCAATAACTTGCATGATATTACCGAAAGAAATCAACTCATTATTTTCCTTTGTAAGTGGAGAAGCAATACCCCTTTTTTTAAATTCATTCTCACACATAATACCTCTATCAGCAGTCGCATTTGCCATAAAACTAAGTTCAAGAAATTGCTTGTGCACTAATAAAGTTGTAGCTTGTGGCAAATCAAGATTTACAGCATTTCTATAGTCAAATCCACACTCAGTCAAAGAGTCCAGTAATTCAAATGGTATATGAACTGGATCTTTCATAATAAGTGCATCAATTTTTGGTCTAGTGGCATTGGCTTTAACTCTTGTAAAATTTAGCATTATTAGCTCAAGTCCTATAAGAGATGATGTTTTTGCATTAGGTATTGATTCTAATGTTAATGTGCAAAAATTTGGGTTTTTGGTTTTGGCACAAACATTTGAGATGTTGTCGCTTTTACTTGGATTTATAAGGAAAAAGCAAAATAAAAGAAAAAGATTCAAGAATAGAGTAGTCTTCATGGATGATAGAATAAGAGGTTTTTTTGAATTGTGTTTTTCTCTATTTTTGAAGTTATTTTGTCGGTTAATTTCTTTGGTTTTTTATAGTGTGAAAGAGTGATGAAATCTGGTATTTTAGGTACAATATTCAATCTTTTATAACTACGAATAATATTCAAGGATCTGCGGATTTTATATGATTGAATTTGATTGTCGTAATCAGTTTGATTGGAAATTTATACATTAACGTATCCACTTACCAAAATGATTTTAATAATAAAGTGTGATTAGAGAGTCATTTTTTTTTTCAAAAGATAATTATTTACTGAACGAATAAGTATTACTGGGATCATTTGTTAGTTTGGTCATGTCTTATTTTTAACAAAATGCAGAAAAAGTCGGTCAAAAATATTTTTTAGAAATATTGTAAGAGATCTATAGAATTAGGTCAGCATAAATCCGAAAAACAAAAAAAATCGACCCAACTGAAAATAGGTTTCGATTATTTGATTTATTCGGTTGGTATCGAGTTATGTCTTTTTATAGCTTCTAAGCACATACTTGTTTTTTTAAAACGTTGAATACATATGAAAATATCTAACGTTGTCGCGATTTTTTAATTAAGCCTTTTTCTGATTACACTTGTAGTATTTCCAAAGTATACCAATCACATACATTTCGCATTCATTTGAAAATACATCATTCCTCAAACTCGCGTCTGCAAGCGCTTTTTATATAGAATAATTAGTTAATTAAATTATTTTGGTGTGAAAGATGAACCTAAGAAAAAATATAGAAATCTGTCCAAAAGAAGTATAAAAATGACTTGCTCCAAGTGGAATATGATATTTTTCAAAAGTTAGGATTTTCTTCTAAGGGGGGAAAATGTCACGACTCGGATTTTCCACCCTCGTGAGTCGTGATGGTGCCTACTAGTGAAAGCTAGGCAAGCCAACTAATTAAATCATTTACCTTGTTTGCATTTTAATCCGTTAACAATTAAGAACCAACATTTAATAAACAACTCGAATTTAATAAGCGGAAGACTGATAAACAATGTTTTAACAATGCCACCAATACCCATCCATAACAAAACTACCCAGAACTGGTGTCACAATTTTACAGACTGTCTAGAAATACTACAAATAAAGGTCAGAAAGATTTAAAACAACACTGTCTCTGGAATACATGAAAGAAACAGAATAAAAGATAGAAGGAGATGCCAAGGCCTGCGGACGCCTGCAGGACTACCTCGGGTCGCCTGATGAACTAGAAGTAGCAACTTCACTGCGGTCTGAAAGCTACTACACTGGGATCTGCACAAAAGAGTGCAGAGTGTAGTATCAGCACAACCGACCCCATGTGCTGGTAAGTGCCTAGCCTAACCTCGGCGAAGTAGTGACGAGGCTAGGACCAAACTACCAAATAAACCTGTGCAGTTAAATCATATACAACGGAAGAATAAAGGTAAAAATTTACAATTTAAAAGTAAGAAGGGGAGGGAGACATGCTGCGGGGATATCAAGTAACAATAGGAAACAAATAAATAACCGTAAAGAACACCATAACGTAATATCAACAATAATTAGGAAATCAAGACAAGTGCACGGCATCACCCTTCGTGTTTTTACTCTCGTCCTCACCAAATATCAATATAATCGGCACGGCATCACCCTTCGTGCTTTTACCTCATATAATCATGGCACGGAATGATCCTTCGTGCATTATCACTCATATAAAGGCACTGAATGGTACATCGTGCGGCACGACATCACCCTTCGTGCATTAACACTCTCTCACAAATATCATGCACGACATCATCCTTCGTGCTTTAATACTCTCTTACAAAAATAATGCATGGCATCACGCTTCGTGCTTTAACACTCTCTCACCAAAATAATGCACGGCATCACCCTTCGTGCTTTAACACTCTTCCTCACCCAAACAACAATCGCAAACAATAAGGGCAATGAAATAAATGAAATCACAATAAAATCCCGGCAAGGGAACAACAATACAACAATCATATCCCAGCAAGGGAAACAATATCAAAGCAACAACATCCTGGCAATGGAAACAACATTAAAAGCAACAACATCCCGGCAAGGAAGACAATACCATAATCCTCCTCTCTTTTTCACATTTATTTCCCATCTCAATTCGCAACTTGAGCCAATGCTCTATAATGTTCAATTGCCAACAATAATTCCACAAATCATTTCACAACTTGAGCAATGCTCTATAATGTTCAGTTGCCAACAATAATTCCACAAATCATTTCACAACTTGAGCCAACGCTCCTCAATATTCAATTACCAAAATTACTTCCACAAGCCTTGTTCAACAACAGAAATATCACATAAGGCATGAACAATACAAAACGGAGTAATATTAATCATAGCATAAGACTCACGGGCATGCTGGACACCAACGTATAGATACTCGTCACCATGCCTATACGTCGTACTCAACAATCAACACTTAGCAAATAGGACACAACTCCTAATCCCTCAAGCTAAGGTTAGACCAAACACTTACCTCGATACCTCGAACACAATTCAAGCCTCAACTACCGCTTTACCTCTTGATTCCACCACCAATTCGCTTGTATCTAGCCACAAGTTACTTAACTATATCAATAAATGCTAAATGAATCAATTCTAATGCATGAAAATAGATTTTCTAGAGTTTTTCCCAAAAAGTCAAAAATCGACCCCGGGCCCACATGGTCAAAACCCGAAGTTCGAACCAAAACCCGATTACTCATTCACCCATGAACTCAAATATATAATTTGTTTTGAAATCGGACCTCAAATCAAGGTCCAAATCCCCAAAATATGAAAAACCTAAGTTCTACCCAAAACACCCAATTTCCCCCTTGAAAACCTTTGATTTTGAGTTGAAATCATGAGAAAAGATGTTAAAGATTAATAAAAACGAGTTAGAAATGACTTACAATCGATTTAGAAGAGTACTTGTCCTTGAAAAATCGCCCAAATGTGTTTAGGTTTTGAGAAGATTTGAAAAATGGCTGGAAATGCATCTAAGTGTCAATCAACTGGTCTCTGATGTCGCAATTGCAACCAGGGTTCGCAACCCTTCAGAAGTCTATTTTCTTCGCATTTGCGACCACTCAAAATTCCTAAGGTTTTCTCATTTGCAAGGCATACGTCGCATTTGCGACTCTGGCCATCCGCATTTGCGGTAAAAATGGTCGCATTTGCGATCAAGGCCTTCCCAGGCCATCTTCGCATTTGCGACCAGTGTTTGCATTTGCGAGCCAGGCTTTGCGAAGCCTGCAGACCTGCAGACCTGCAACATACCAGCAATTCCTAAGTTCAAATTTCACTCCGTGGCCTATCCGAAACTCATCCGAGCCCTCGGGGCTCCAAACCAAACATGCACGCAAGTCCAGAAATATCATACGAACTTGCTCGTACGATCAAATCATCAAAATAACATCAATAACTACGAATTTAGCATCAAAATCAAAGAAAAATCTCATGAACTCTTAAGTTCAAGTTTTAACAACCGAAGGTCCGATTCACGTCATTTCAAGTCCGTTTCTTACCAAATTTTACAGGCTCAACTTAAATCACATATAAGACCTGTACCGGGCTCCGGAACCAAAATACGGGCCCGATACCATCAGATTCAATTACATTTAAATTTCCAAAAACTCTAAGAATTTCAGTTAAATAATTTTCTTCAAAAATTCATTTCTCGGGCTTGGAACCTCGGAATTCGATTCCGGAAATACTCTCATGTCCCATATTTTCCTACGGACCATCCGAGACCGTCAAATCACGGGTCCGGATCCGTTTACCCAAAATGTTGACCAAAGTCAATCTAAATTCATTTTAAAAGCGAAATTTATTATTTTTCACAGATTTTCACATAATAGCTTTCCGAATACACGCCCGGACTGTGCACGCAAATCAAGGTGAAACAAGAGGGAGGTTTAAATTTTTTTTAAGCAAATCCACTAGGCAGTAGCCTAGGGCTAGTTTTATTAATAATAAAAAGAAAAAAGAACCACATAGGAAGAGTACTAATAAGGGGGACAATAGCACCAATAATGTTGCCTCTATGCCTTGGCCATATAATTACTCCTCTGCGCCTCACAATGCCCTTATGGCAGCCTCATGTAGAGGGATCATGGTGTAGCTCCCCGCAAAGTCTCACGAGGGCATATAATCTCATAGCCATTTGGATTCTTTCCAAAGGCATAGAACTAGAGCAACACAAGCTGGGCTAAACCTTACCTTACTAATCCTATTGAGGCAAATAAAAAACCTCACCTACTAACATGCATGTAAAAAGAAAGAACTAGATAAAACTAGATACTCTATGATCATCACAGAGTTTATAACGTACTCTGTAATGATATTACATAAGACAATGCTAATGTGATGGTAGAATAAGAATATGTAGAAGTAACAGTGATGTCCTCTCTTCTCTAATTTTGTGAAATCTTCAATTTGTAGACGCTTGTCTTCATCATCAACCCTTTTCAAAATGTCTTCAAAATTCATGTTTTTGTCTTTGAACGAGTAGACTTTGTGGATGTAGTTTGGATGGCCTGCTTTTGCTTAGAAACTCTCATAGGGAGTCTCCTTACGTTTACATCTTGACTTACCCTGTCGTCCCAACTTTTGTCCCTTGTATGAGAATTATTATTTTTTCCGCTATGCATAGGTGATAAATCACCTTTTCTTGCTGCCTCTGCCCTGCATTGATTTAGAATATCATCTTCCTCACCATCTATATATGTATCTCTGCCCACAATCACCGGATTTGGCATGTCTTGAACAACACCTTGTGTCATCAAGGTATTTTCATCTTGTACTTTAACTATGACTGCCTTGTTTTGTTGTTGTTTTTGTAATGAAGTCCTGCTCTTATTCCCTCGACCAATGCTGGAGGCAAAATGATTTAACGAGTTAATATGATTAGTACTTACCATTGCATCTAACAATTATCTCTCCTCTAACGAAATAACTGGTGTAATTGCCACAAGTTGCTGCTGCCCAGATTGTGGAATTGTT